AGAGAGAGAGATGAGGAGAGAGTGAGAGAGAGAGATAGATATAGACAGAGAGGAGAGAGAGAGAGAGAGAGAGAGAGAGAGACTCCGATGAGATAAGGCGTTCGAATTCAGCCGACGAGAAAATCGAAGCAGATCGCCAAAATAAAAAACAAACAAACTTTTGCCGGAGAGCTTAGCGTCGACGGGGGAACGACAGCGGCCAACCGAACCTCATCTCGCTCGACGGAGGAGGAGGACCGATCGTGGAGGAAGCTCACCTCTCTAGACCTGCTCTCCTCTAGCTGCACGCGCAGGGAGTTCTTTTCGGACGCGAGCAGCACCTTCTCCATCGTCAAGTCGCTGACTTGCGCGGCCAGTTTCTCGCTTCGTCGCGCCGCGTCGCCGCGTAACAGCCGATGGCTTCCCACGTGTTCCTGCCTAGCCGCATTCAGCATTTCCAGCACCGCCACGACTGCCTTCCTTCTTCACGCGATTGCTCCAATTTATTCTGTGTTGGCCATAAACATAATATATTTTAAAACAGTTACTTAACAATTAACTTAGAAAGGGCAGTGTTTGCAACTAACATTGTATCCCCCGTGTTCTCCCGATTGGTAAGTATACGAAGTTTTGGTCGTTGCTAGGTCAATTTGGGGCCGAGTTAGAGAGCGGAAAGAAATATTGATCAAGAAGTGGATAATAGAGAAGGTCATGTCAGCGGTTTTAACGCGTTTTGCATTAGTTTGACGTGCGTATACTAATCCTTATCGAATATTGTGAATAGAATATATTCACACTACCTTGTTTTTCGTTCTATGATTTCTCCTTATTTCATTATGACACCACCAATTTTACCTGAAATCGTATGTGTTCTTCAAAAAGTTAGTTGAATACGACACGGTTTCCACAGTTATCACGCATGATACATCTTCGACCGAACTTGTTATGGGCGATTAGTGTTCTATTGTCTATGACGGAAACTTTGGGGTCGTATGCGGATATTAGGCATCGAATCGGTATTCAGCGCTGCACGTTTTTCCGTCGTGCTAGAAAATAAATTGCGCCTCACGGCCAGCTTAGCTAGGCAGCTGATTCCTTACGGCCCCCAGCGTACGTCATAGACAATAGACAGCTAGTCCCATAAAACCAAGTTCGGTCGGAGAGATGGGTATCCATGCGTGATAACTGTGGGAAACCTTCGATTCAACTAACTTTTTGAAAGAACACATCGATTTCAGGTAAATTGGTGTGGGTGCTCATATCGAATTAAGGGAGGAATCATTAGACGAAAACAAGTAAAGTTTGAATATATTTATTCACATATTGATAGATTAGTTACCAGTTTCAAAACTATTGCAAAACCGCTGGTTAAAACCCTGACTACTCTTCTCTATTACTCCACTCTTGATATGGATCAAGGTCAAGTAAGGTCAAATAAAGAGTCGTATGTGACCTGGTTTTGGTACGCCGACACACCTTCTCCCCAAAGATGTGTAAGTATACCAAGTTGGTAAGTGCTAGGTCAAATTAGGTTGCAAATTATAGAGCAGAGGGAAATATGATCCAAGGTCCAAGGTAAAGATCAAATAAGGTCGTCATTGACCTGTTTTTGCGTAGCGTAGGTCAATTAGGGCGGTTATTAGCGCGAAGGGGAAAATATGATTAAGGTCAGGTAACAGGTCAAATAAAGGTTGCAGTGGCCTGGTTTTGGTAAGCTGCTTCACCTTCTTCCCCAAGATGTGTAAGTATACCAAGTTTGGTAGTTCTAGGTCAATTAGGCGGGCGGAGTTAGAGAGCGGAAGTCGGGAATATGATCAAAGGGCCAAGGTATATGGTCAAATAAAGTCCGCAGTTGACTGCGTTTTTGGTACGCTGCTTTCCACCTTCTCGCCCAAGATGTTTGTAAGTATACCAAGTTTCCCGGTAGCGCTAGCAGTAATCAGGGGTCGGTCATGACCAGAAGGGAAATGTTCCGGCGGCGGCGGCCCTGTGGAGGACAATGAAACCATCAGTGATACCGCCGAATTCGTCGCGGGGGATACAATAATATTATTTAACAATAATATAAATAGAACGATAATATTTTCCAGTTGTGGACATAGGCTACGAAACCAGATTCAGCCTAACGTCAAAAGATAATGTTTATGTTGTGCCGAGATTGGTCACGATCAGGCCAACAAAATGTATTTTGTATATGTGAAATTTACATTGATATGAATTTCATGCTAAATGGCCCGATGTCGATTTTAAATAGTTAAGCTAAACATTCTTATTCAAGTTTTACCTGCCATATATTCGTTAACTCGCAAAGTTTCAGACCTTGTTGAATTTAGATGGGTAAATAATAGATAAAGTAATTAATAGATACCTTTCATCGCCGGCTCTGTTCACAGACTCTGTAGCTTTGTGAAGATGTCGATCACCGCTCTCGTACTCTAGAAATTGTTCTGGCTTGCTTCCGGCCTCCTTCTGTGCATACAGCTTCTGATCACAGGCATCATCAAGTGCAATGTCCTGCTGTGCAGTTTGCACCTGCAAAATTTCCTGCTGATACTCCTGTGCAGTTTTCTGCAGTGCAGTTTGCAGGTCTGTTATATCCTGCTGATATTTCTGCTGTGCAGTCTGCAGGTCTGAAATTTCCTGCAGATATTTCTGCTGTGCAGTTTGCAGGTCTGAAACTTCCTGCTGATACTGTTTCTGTTCAGTTTTCTGCTGAGCAGTTTGTAGCTCTGTTATTTCTTGCTGATATTTCAGCTGTATAGTTTGTAGCTCTGTTATTTCCCGCTGATATTTCTGCTGTGCAGTCTGCAACTGTGAAATGTCCCGCTGATATTTCAACTTTGCATTCTGCAGCTGTTCAATTTCCTGCTGATAGTCTGTGTTTGCGGTCTGCAACTGTGAAATATCCTGCTGATATTTCTGCTGTGCAGTTTGCAAGTCTGTATTTTCTTGCTGATACTTTTGGTTTGCAGTTTGAAACTGTAAGGTTTCTTGTTGATATTTGAACTTTGCATTCTGCAGCTGTTCAATTTCCTGCTGATATTCTTTGTTTGCAGTTTGCAACTGTGTAATGTCCTGCAGATATTTCTGCTGTTCAGTCTGCAGGTCTGTATTTTCCTGCTGATACTTTTGATTTGCAGTTTGCAGGTCTGCGATTTCCAGCTGATACTTCAGCTGTGCAGCCTCCAACTGTGCAATTTCCACTGGTGCAGTCTGCAACTGTGCAATTTCCTGTGCAGCCTGTGTCTGTGACAACTCCTGCTCATCCTCTTGGTTTGCAGTCTGCAACTGTGCAATTTCCACTGGTGCAGTCTGCAACTGTGCAATTTCCTGTGCAGCCTGTGTCTGTGACACCTCCTGATGATCCTCTTGGTTTGCAGTCTGCAACTGTGAAATTTCCTGTGCAGCGTGTGTCTGTGACACCTCCTGATGATCCTCTTGGTTTGCAGTCTGCAACTGTGAAATTTCCTGTGCAGCGTGTGTCTGTGACACCTCCTGA